GTCTGCAATTTGATCTACAGCGCAATTTGCGGGTTTTACATTTAGACGCTAATTTTGTCGGGAGAAAACAACAAAGTTTTCCGTGGGGACATGGGAGCGAGTCGGGTTGAAAGGCTGTGAACAGTTTGTGGGATTTTCGCTGTCAAAAATGGATAGGAATTCAAACGAGCTTATTTATTATCCTCTTAGGTTTGGCATGTTTGCCACCATAAGTCAATGCAAAATGGTACAAAAAAATATGAATAGAATCAAATAAACTACAATGGGAAGTAACTTAGTCACAGGTGCAAAATCTGCCCTTCTTCTATTTTAATTGTTCTAATGAATATGATAACATGTACAGGCGACACCAGCCGTGTGGTTGCGAAGGGCGATTTCTAAAGGTTACGTAAAACTTTACTTTGAATGAAACTACATGCACACAGCCATGTTCACTTTGGACAGGTGAAATCTTTGATAATTAATTTCTCCTGTTTGGAAGATTGTATCTTCATGCGACATTCATGGTTTGTTGTTCTAATAACGATCCAAGTACCCGGTAAGTGCTAAAAATCATTGTGATATGTTAACTATTTTTCGTTGAAATTGGAAAAATAGGCCTGTCTACATGCATTTTTAAGTTGTAACACTGGTGTTTGCAATATCTGTCAATCTTTTCAAGCCATACAAATATTAATAAGGTTACTATCCATTATGGTGCACAGTTAACATTTGGAGAAAAGCCTCCTTCACGAGTTACTAGTTGATAAATATCATTTTAAGAAGTACACATTCATCTTAACTTCTTAAGATCACCAAAACGTAGTGTTTATTTTAAGCTCTGACAGCAGCTTCTGCATGTCACTTGGTGGTCGGTCGGTCGGTCTGTCTGTCTGTCACCGGAAAATTGACCAAACTAAGCCTCCTAAGTTTCCCATAAAATATAACTACCAACTTTAAATTTTTGAAAAACCAGAAACAGTATAAATTAAATACTTTACAAAAATTGTTTGTAACAATTCGGAAAGATGTTTATGAAAATTGTGTAAATGGAGGCAAAATATTTGCAGTAATATTATAATCCTGTGGTATTTATCACAAATCGCTATAAATCTAGGTATAAATCTACAGCATTTTTGGGCGTCACATTTTTCAGCTCCAGCAAGGATCATTTTGATCGATTTCATGCAAGACTTTCATGCAAGACGGCCAGAGCTTATTGTGCACTCGCATTTGTTTTCATGACACAGTAGCTTATTACAGGCTTTCAAGCAGAGCCAGGTGAAAAAGTAGGAGAACAGTAGGATGAAAATATAATTTAAAACAAGTAGGACAAAAGTACCGGTAGGAATTTGGAGGACAAAATCAGGATAAAAGTAGGACTTTTGTGGGCTTATAGGAGTAGTTTTCGTTGATGCTCGCCCATGTCCACAGCATTATAAGGGGCAGGGGGGGGGGGGTATGATAGGTACATACCATTAACAAGATTGCGGGTTCCAATCCCGGTGAAGTTAGTAACTGGTAAATAAAGAGGATTGGAGGAGGGTAGAGAGTGAGTCAAGGAAGGAAGTAGATAAAAGAACCGCAGAAAATAACTATTTGGCGCTTGGAAATTGACTAAAAAAAAGTGGCGATCATGAAGTGTAGGGCCCGGTTCCTATTATAAATAACAGGGAACAAAATCCACTTTAAAAATATAGGACCTACCAAACTAGTTGGCGACATTCTCAATTAACAGGTATGTCATAAATAGAGGGCAGGGTTTTGATTTTTTGAGGGAAATTTTGGGGAAAATGACGATGACAGTACGGCGACAACACGTGACCTCAAATAAGCCTCATTTGGCATGTTCTGTACTCACAACACTTGTGCTCCATCCTCAACTAAGCTCTTGGAAGTACAGTTGCAGTACTCCTGCACCCAAGCCATTCATTGTGTGATTTACATATATTTGTGTAATAAAAAATTATCAATGAGATTTCATTTTTCGGAGTTGTGGGACAAAAAAGTTGGAATTTCAAAAAAAAATAGGAAAAGTAGGAGGAAGTTAAAAAAAAACCTAGGAAATGTTAAGAAAAGAAGGAATAGACCCCTACTTGAAAGCCTGTGATTATTGCAATGCCTATAGATACCTTTTGCAAACAGCAAATAATGTCATTGCATAATGAGCCAAAGCAGTCAACATCAGACAGTACACATCAAGCATGTGACAATTCACTGCCAATTAAAAAAACTCACAACAACAAAGTTAGCGCGGAATGAGATGGAGAGTCATCACGCGCGAACATGTCTAAACCGTCAACAACAAAAAACCTCTCATTGCGCATGTTCAGTGCTGTGCTGGCACATTACTGAAAGCAACAGGGGACCAGTTCACAGTCAAATACACTGCCGGCAAATTTCTGATTGGCTTCTCACAACAAAAAATGGTGGGGGGGGGGGGGAATGACCCGTTCTCCTGGTCAAAAAGTGTGTGATGGGGGCCTGGAGGGGATTTAATCAGATACCAGTATATCCTTCCCAACATCGCATGGCACCAACCGTAAACTGCAAACAAAAAATGTACTTTCTACGGGGCTCATGAAGTGAATATTTCTTAGGAACATAGTTTGTGCTACTTTCTAATCCTCTTCAGTGTATGAAAACTAATAGATATTCCTTTTTGGTTAATTTTGTGGAAAAGTGCACTTCATTAAACATTACAAATTGTCCATGCTTTTCCAGACAACTGAGGGCGCTGTTGTTGTGATGTCATTTCAGGGAGATAGTATGTGTTTTTCTGTTGAAATGCTCATTGAACACATTTCGTCACTGACACCACGAAGTAACACTCCACGTGTTAAACCATATGTTTTTCGATTTTCAGTTTTTTACATTTTTAAACATTATTCATCAAGGCCAAGGCCTACCATTGCATGAAGTTTCAAAGCTTCAAGAGCTTTACTTTAATAATTACGCTAATTATCCATGGCAACTTTTGCACAAAAGCGACAATTTTCGTTTTCACAAAGTAACACTCAAGTTCCATTTACCATTGCAATGCATGGCGCACACTCTGCTCAAATGTAAGCCAAAACGTTTTCACGAAGTAACATTCTCCTAGTATGAGCGCGCGTGCGCTGACCTGAAGTTGCACTTTCCTCGTGTTGTATACATTGAAGAGTGTTACTTCGTGAAAACGAAAATTTACAGTTTCGCAGCTTTTTCAGTTTCAGGAACTAACAATCACCTTTTTTCTCTTATTTCTTGTTGATTTAATACACAAACGGGTGAAAAACAGCAGATTTAATCAATTCAATTCATCAAGTGTCCACACCGATAAACCCAACTGAAAATACTCTGCCGTTTTGCACGGTGTTGTTTTAGAAGGCGTTCAACTTTAGATGCCGTTTTCTACGATTGCTAGTTTTTACTGGTATGTACATGGGTGTTACTTCGTGGTGTTGCTGATGATTTGTGAGAAAAGTTTGCTCATTGGCTTAATGCCATGTATTGACACAACAACGAATCACTAATAAAAAGAAAGTTTACAACAGCGAAATATCCAAAATTTGGGCAACTTATGTACATGTACATTATTAGGATTTGGCCTTCAGAAATTCGGGTAACCAGATTTTAAGCATCCCTATCCAAAGGGCAACTACATTTTTGAAAAAATTACGAGGCCTGATGCATCATGTATGGAATTCCTTCCAAAGTTTAAAGGCTAATGAATACTTAATACTATGAAAAATTAAAGACTATTCAAAACATATTGCATTATCATTGAGTACAGGTGGTGACGTGTGTCGATGTCTTGTTATGTACACCGCATACATCAATAACCAATACCACAAATGGTCGCCAAGACCGTCTGCTACCAAGCTGATGACTAGTGTGGAATTCATTCCTAAATGTTAAATACATCAAATAGTCCCTTACGGGCAACGATCTTCGACTAGTGTAGCTGTAGCGAATATTGGAATAAGGCTGGTGTGATTAAATAATGCGCCTTTCAATTGTTTCCCCCACCCCTACCCCCCCCCCTTCCGGGCTTCCCCACACATGACGTGGGGATCGTCACTTTTGAAGTGACAAAATCCCCACCCTGCGGGCAAAATGTAAGTGACAATCCCCAACAAACATACGTGGGGTGCATATTGCCTTTCCATGAAGTACGCCAATGGTAACAATGTAATTTGGGTGACACATCAGACCTGGGGCAGGGGGGGGGGGGGGGTATGATACTAGGTGCATAACATTAATGAGATTGCGGGTTCCAATCCCGGTGAAGTTAGTAACTGGTAAATAAAGAGGATTGGAGGAGGGTAGAGAGTGAGTCGAGGAGGGAAGTAGATAAAAGAACCGCAAAAAATAGATAGTGGATATTTTGCCGGAGGTAATGACGGCAAACTAACGATTACTAAAGGTTTGCCGGCGGCAATCCATATCAACAGAGGGCGCTGTACTCTTTAAAATAGGGCTGAATTATAAGATGTATTAAATTCCCACCAAAAGCTGTGTAGCACGTTTGGTGTAATGGTTAAGCAAAGGCTCTAGTAAGCGGGATGACTCGTGTTCGATTCCGACCGCACCACATTTTACAGTTTTTTTTTCTGATCCCCAAATAAATAAGAATATTCTTCTTTTATTATTTTAACATGTCTCAAACATTTTTTGCAGAGTATTACATTTTCTGTTTCAGATTTGTGGCTCTGGAGGATTTTTTTTAAAAGGGAAATAAAGTCCGAAATTATAAAATGGTCTGAATCCCATCTTGTGAATACGAGGTAACAACGATAATTTTGGCATGGAGCCAGACTAAAACTTTTCACCGGAAAATGTTTTGAGTACAAAAAAACAGTAACTGCGCATGTTCAGTGCATATCCGGCAAACTAACGTTTACTAAAGGTTTGCCGTCTCCGGCAAAATATACACTGCCCAAAAAATAACTATTTGGCGCTTGGAAATTGATTGAAAAAAAGTGACGTGCGTCATGTAGGCCTGCGCCTACGTGTAGAAGACTTTCCCAGATGCTTACCGTATTTCTTTGATGCGTTCCATCTTGTACAGCAGCTCTGCCGTCTCGCGTTCAGGCTCCATCGCTACCGCTAGCAACTTGAATAAAGTTACAAGAGTCGCACTTGCAGTTAGAACAGAATATCTGAATTGTGATATTCGTCGCAAGTCCTAGGCTATGCTGCACGTCCTCACGGTATGACGGCTGCGCTTAAAATGAAAATGTTGTGCATGTGTTGCTTCAAACACGATATTTACTCGGGAAGATTTACAACGTGTAGTCTGACACGATTTCTGTGTGATGAATAATACGGAGTAGTTAGGGTACCAGACCATTCCGTTCTTCGCGTTCGCGCGGTATAGCGCCCTCATTGCTCTGTCCGCGCTATTTCCACTCGAAATAATGATTTTAGCTTTCCGAAAGTTGCTTTGCAAGAAATTGATTATTTTCTCCTAACGAATTTGTATGTTTTGTTTTAACGAAAAACCCTACTTATTTCGAGTTTGGGCGTCTGCATCCCTCTGCAAAAGGGCTTTCATTTTGTACACAAATGCAACAGCCCTGCAAGAGTGAAGTTATTGTCTGGCAAATTAGACCGGGAGCCAGGGGGGGTCAGCCTAGCTGGAAAGTTAACCAATTTTCATGTATGCAGCAATGTTCCACATGCATACCAATGTAAGGAAATGGACGTCTGCCGGGCGCACTGTGGTGGGTATGGTCAGGAGGGCCATGAGAAAGGGGCCACAAAATTGAGCTAGATCAGCTGGTGAGTTAACCCAATGAAACCTACTGGAATATGTTGGGCCTAGTCCCAGGTATCATGAATGGCCACTGCCAGACATTTTCAGTGGTGGAAAGTGCCCGCCAGACATGAAAAACCTGTATAGGAGGGGGCGTGGCCATAACCCCCTCCCATTCCTTTTCGCCGATAAAGTAGCAACGCATCGATATAGAAAAATGTAAAACCAGTTTCTATATGTGCCCTGACTCTTGTAGAATGCAAAAATATAACTTACGAGTAATTTAAGATCTGACTAATTAACTAACGAGCGGCGCGAATAGCTTGGAGGGGGCGGGGCTACCACCCCTCCAAGCATATTTTCGTTTATATCATTGCAACGCATTCTATTAATTCTGTCAAATTTTCCTGGCATGTTTGCCGATGCCTTTTGGCTATTGTGTATCCATTTTTAACAAAATGAAGCACACTGTTCTCATCAGATGTCTATTTCCCGAAACAAATAGGTTATTGACCAGGTTAGCAGTACATGTACATGTACATGTACATTAGATTACACGTGCTGGAGTCGGAACTTATAGAAAAGGGTACAGATAGTAAACACTTAAAAACTTACAAGAACAGGTTTTTTGCACCTTTTCCCCTGTTCAGTTATGCTTTAAAAATACATTTGGGCACAAGGTGAAACATTCTCACGTTATAACACTTGTTATTTTACCCTTTTGTGGGCGTGACCTAAATATGTAAATCAGGGTGTGATTAAGAGCACTCTGATTCAAACGAGGTCAATTTGTAATTTTGCTGACAAATGACAGTGGTACTGGTATGTAAAGAAACATGTGCCATTGGGGGACACACGGGCATGTAGGGATGGATGGAGAAACATATGAGAGAGATAAAGAGTAAGGAGGGGGAGGTACATAGGGTAGGCCTATTATGCTTGGGTAAGAATGGAGGGGAGGGGGTTGGGAAGGAGGGGGCACAGGAGGAAAACAATACCCAATTTTTAAGTCTCCTATGATCCCACTTCTTGCCAAGTGCTCTTTGTCCCCCAGCCTGATATCTCTCTCAACCCCCACCCATTTCGTTTATCCTCGCCCAAACAAATTTCTTTTGTCCGTTGCCGGTCATTTCTTCTTTATATGATGTTCAACTGTGGATCTCTCCTCAAATCCAATAATCCCTCTTTTGTGTGCTGGCCCATACATTTTTCTTGTAAATGCCATTTTGAGTTTTAATAATATCGTATTTATAAACGCTGTGTACTCACACGAATTTAATACACCTGCCACTTTAATACGTCCCTTCTTGCTTTCTATTCTCTTCGGTTCCGATAGAAATATTTAACTAAATACATGTAGCGTTTTCCTCGTCAGGTCGAATTTCTATAAACTGACTTGTTGGGTACCATTGCCCCTACTTTCTCCTTTGCTCCCGGTGCGTTCAAATGCACCTTTCTTGTTCCGTAGTGATGGGAAAAACACTTGTTGCTTGGATGTATTTGTAGGGACAGAAAACTGGGAGGACAGCAGGAAGTCAACATATCTCATTCCTAAAATTTGCATAAAAAATTAAAAGAAACTTCCCCATAACGTGGTGACATCCCGCCCAAAGTGTGTATTTATGTGCAATCGTCAAAATTGCCCCTCTTCTGTTATTACCTTTACTTTTTAGGAAGACATCCCATTTGTTTTGTATTTGTTGAACCCAATAATGTTCAACGTCCCCTATTGAATGCAGAAACAAACACAGTTTGTCTAGTTGGAATCTGATGTACCGTACCAGCAGGCAGGGACGGTGGAATGCTTTCCAAACTGGGGGAGGGGGGGGGGGACAACAAAAAGGGGCAACTGCTCAGAAAATGGGGCACCTTCAGTCGGTGTGAAAGTGAGAGCTCTTCGGCCTCCGCAATAGCCGATCTGAAACTCCTTTTTTTTTCGCAGCAAAATGTGGTCCCCCAATAAGCGAGTCCACAAAATCTCGGCACGTTGGGTTCAGGGCCCGCTTAAGGGCCCGGAATAAAATGGATTCTAGATGCTCTGTACTGTGATGAGATCTGAGGCAATTTCTGACAACTTGTAACCAATTTGTTTTTAGGAAAAGATGGTGGTAAACGTAGTGGCTGCCTTTTTGTGACATCACTAAAAATACAATTGGGTTCGTTATTGTATTTTACTATTACTAAAAATTCAATTGGGTTCGTTATTGTGGGGAAGGCATGGGCCCATTGCCCCTCATCTTCTTGGATCCGCCCTTGGACCTTCGGAACATGGCACATTATACATCCTCCGCCCCCGCCAGTAACCTCTGTGGGTCCCCCCATGAATTTGACTATAGTTATGTAGAGAGACCAATTTTTTGGGGTGGAGGGGCACTTTTGATGGCCTGGAAAAAATCTGGAGGGGAGGGGGGGGGCAAGTGTTTTCCCCCCGTTCCGTGGCCCCTGCCAGCAGGGACTGCACCAAAACTATTGAAGCGATGGAATTTGCATAGGAGTGATGTAAATCAAATTTGGGGTTTTGCCCTTCATTAACGTTTTTATTTACATTATAAACACTGTACATGTAGGCCCACACAGGCCCCAGAGTATAATATCACAGTTATTTACCAAAATACGTGCCTATTTCAAACATAACTCCAGTTTATTTTGTTGACTTATATAAAATGATTAAAAATGAAAGTAACAATGCACAATAATCATTATTTAATAATGCTGACTCTGTGTTTGGCCAGCAAAATCATACATTTTCCTCGTTTCATTCAGAATGCAATTATTCACACCCTGATTTAAATATTTAGGCCACGCCCACAAAAGAGTGAAAATAATATGTATTTCCATGTATGAATATATTAACTAGTGTCAAAGCATACAAAAACAAGGGAAATGGACCGCAAACAAAAACAGGTTTTGTAAGTTTTCATTTTCTGTACCCTTTTTAAACTATAAGCTCCGACCCCGGCACATGTAATGTACATGTACTGTTCATATTGAGCATAACCTACTTCTTTTGGCAATGACATCTGATGAGAACAGTGTGCTTTATTATGTTAAAAATGGATACACAATAGCCAAAAGGCATCGGCAAACATGCCAGGAAAATTTGACAGAATTAATAGAATGCGTTGCAATGATATAAGCGAAAATATGCTTGGAGGGGTGATAGCCCCGCCCCCTCCAAGCTATTCGCGCCGCTCGTTAGTTAATTAGTCAGATCTTAAATTACTCGTAAGTTATATTTTTGTATTCTACAAGAGTCAGGGCACATATAGAAACTGGTTTTACATTTTTCTATATCGATGCGTTGCTACTTTATCGGCGAAAAGGAATGGGAGGGGGTTATGGCCACGCCCCCTCCTATACAGGTTTTTCATGTCTGGCGGGCACTTTCCACCACTGAAAATGTCTGGCAGTGGCCATTCATGATACCTGGGACAAGGCCCAACATTTTCCAGTATGTTTCATTGGGTTAACTCACCAGCTGATCTAGCTCAATTTTGTGGCCCCTTTCTCATGGCCCTCCTGACCATACCCACCACAGTGTGCCCGGCAGACGTCCATTTCCTTACATTGGTATGCATGTGGAACATTGCTGCATACATGAAAATTGGTTAACTTTCCAGCTAGGCTGACCCCCCCTGGCTCCCGCTCTAAATATGGAATAAGTCGATATTTGTGAAGATATAGTTCAATATAACTAAACGTTGGTGGTGTTTTTTTTTCTATCGATGTGTCTGGGTTGGGGCAACCTTGAAAATATAAAGCAAATACTTCTGCGCAAAAACTGCTGCATTTATTAATATTAATCGCCCCATATCGATACCATTCACTGTATTTTGATTATGCAAAATCTAAATAATTTTTTTTTAATTATTAATTTCATAACTAGAAGAAACGATAATTTCGCATTTTGTTCTCGATATGAGAAGCGTAAAATTCAGTGCGGCATAGAATTATTAAGCATAAATATTATCCAATGGCATCCTGGGGACTGAACAAAATGAAATCATTTTTTTAGTTTAATAGGTAACCAATCTTTGCAAACTATTATTTTTGTAATATTTCTTTAAACAAAGCTCATTGTGTATTGAATGTTGGTATGATTTTTACCCGCTTTAACATGATGTCTGTGATTTAAATTGTGAAGTCTACAGGACACTGCGGACCTTCACAATTCATGAATGATGAAAATATACTTTCTGTCTTCTGCAACTGGCGATAAGTGTCATGATGTTTTACTGGATTTAAAGATCAAAATATGTACTACTACATGTACTGTATGCATCACCCTGAATTGGACTATTACCCTACGTGTAAACCCTCCGTGTATGTGGCAGTTCGTTTAAGAGACCCTATTGTTGACAATCATTCGTCCATGAAAACTGAATGCTAAACAGTAAAGTAAAACTTTTATTCATACGATTTGCCTTTTACTTTGTACCCCAAAGTAAATGCTTTTACTTTTTGCTTAAACTTCCTAGCATTTCCTACAGTTTTATACATACGACTCTTTTGTTGTATTGTGCATGTGTTTTTTTTCTGCACTCAAGGTTCCAGTGTGGCTGCGCGAGCTAAGCCACGGAATTATGATCCGTTCATCAGCATGCACCGTGCAGTCAGTGGTCTATAAATCATGATCACCGGCATAAAACCAATTGAATGCAATCGAATTGAATTGCACGAAAACACATTCCATTTTCGTCATAACGTCCGAGTTGCTCAGGGCCACACTGACCACAGTACACAGCTCACGTCCGAGTTGCTCAGGGCCACACTGACCACAGCACACAGCTCACGATATCTGATAAAGGCTTTTTAAAATCTACCAGTATAATACATAACCTGAACAACCAGACGATTGTCCAAAAAAGTCGCTCAACAGTGAGTTGTTTGTCCTCCCGCGCCGATTGTTATACGACTAGAGCGAGGAAATTCTCTCTTCAAGTTTTGTATATCGAGGAGGCTGCAGCAAAACAGCCGGGATGCATTTCGATAAGATTCTAGTTCTTCTTGGGGAGTTTGGCCCGTACCAGAAGCGGATCTTTTTCCTGATCTGTCTGCTGAGCGTACCGGGGGCCTTCCACAAGCTCGCCCAGGTCTTTCTCGGGGCCGGCGCGGACCATTGGTGCGCTGTGCCCGAGTGGAAAGACCAGGATTGCACCGCTTGGAACTTGAGTGCAACAGAGTGTCAACTGGCGAAGAAAAATGCGTCCATTCCGAGGGGAAAGGACGGTGCTTTTGAGCAGTGCCAGAGGTATAACATCACGGGGGAAAGGTTTTACCCGGGCCTGGACCCAAGGAATTTAACCTCGGAGGGATGCGTGGATGGCTGGGATTTCGACACCAGTCAGTATAAAAGTACCATCAAAATGGATGTAAGTAAAATCATATAAGACTAGTCCGAAAATTTGGGACTCTGAATACTGTGTACGGGGATACGAAAGCCCGTTAGTGCCATCGAATGTATACATTGCTCTTTTGCAAGTATATGTTTGGTAAATCTTGTTTTTCGGATGTATATGTTTGGTGAATCTTGTTTTTCGGATGTATATGTTTGGTGAATCTTGTTTTTCGGATGTATATGTTTAGCAAGTCTTGTTTTTCGGATGTATATGTCTAGCAAGTCTTGTTTTTTGGATGTATATGTTTAGCAAATCTTGTTTTTTGGATGTATATGTTTAGCAAATCTTGTTTTTTGCAAGTATATGTTTGGCGAATCTTGTTTTTTGCATGTATATGTTTCCCGAGTCTTGTTTTTTGCAAGTATATGTTTGGCAAGTCTTGTTTTTTGCAAGTATAAATTTGGCAAATCTTGTTTTTGCAAGTATGTTTCGCAAGTCTTGTTTCTGTGAAGTCTATTTTTAGTAACAGTCTTGTTTTTTGCAAGTATATGTTTCCCGAGTCTTGTTTTTTGCAAGTATATGTTTGGCAAATCTTGTTTTTGCAAGTATATTTCGCGAATCTTGTTTTTGTGAAGTCTATTTTTAGTAACAGTCTTGTTTTTTGGAAGTATACGTTTCCCGAGTCTTGTTTTTTGCAAGTATATGTTTCCCGAGTCTTGTTTTGTGCAAGTATGTTTCGCAAGTCTTGTTTTTGTGCAGTCTATTTTGAGTAACAGTCTTGTTTTTTGCAAGTATATGTTCGGCGAGTCTTGTTTTTTTTTTAAAGTATATATGTAGGGACCCGATCTGCTACTCCCCACACAAAATTGTTGCACCCCTATTTTTATTTTTGGAATAGTCCTACTAGCTTGTACATGTACTTGTAGCTGCATAACATGTGGTCCATGTAATACTGGTACAGTATCCGGTCACTTCGGCACCTTGGCAACTCGGCACCTGCCAACTCGGCACATTGGCAACTCGGCACCCACCATCTCGGCACCCACCAACTCGACACCTGTACAAAAACCAGTTTGGCACCTAGCCGACTCGGCACCTGACCAACTCGGCACCTCCCCATGTGCAAAATTCGAAATGTTTCTCAGTAATCAGTCCGCACTTTATCGATTTTCATTGAGCTGGTAAATACGCTGTTACTTATAGCCTAATTGTTTTTATAATGGAACTGGCGATGTCAGATTGCAACGTTCGTTGACAGTTCCTCCGATATTTTGAGTACGGGTAGCAAGCACTGTACGCTGGCCGTCACCGGTCAACGCTTGTCCTTCCAAGTCCATGGCAACGGTGCACTGCGCCTGGCCTGGCCGCACATCCACACCGGCCATCGCCACGGTGCACGGCCGGTGACAGTGCCGTGCTTGACCGCACATGCCCTCCGGCCATCGCCACCGCGCACGGCCGGTGACAAGTGCCACGCCTGGCCGCACAGCGCCAACATTTCCAGCCCCCCCCCCCCCAAAAAAAAATCGAGATGGGGTATGGTTGTGAATAACGGCAAAACAAAATTTGGCTTTCGGGATGACAGGTGCCGAGTTGGTCAGGTGCTGAGTTGGAAGTTGTGAGAAAGAAGCAAAATTTGGGTGCCGAGTTGGCGTGGTGCCGAGTTGGCAAGGTGCCGAGTTGGTGGGTGCCGAGTTGCCAAGGTGCCGAAGTGACTGGATACCGTACCATTATTACATGGAACACATGTTATGCAGCTACAAGTACATGTACAAGCTAGTAGGACTATTCCAAAAATAAAAATAGGGGTGCAACAATTTTGTGTGGGGAGTAGCAGATCGGGTCCCTACATACATGTATATACTTTAAAAAACACACACCAAGACTCGCCAAACATATACTTGCAAAAAACAAGACTGTTACTAAAAATAGACTTCACAAAAACAAAACTTGCGAAACATACTTGCAAAAAACAAGACTCGGGAAACATATACTTGCAAAAAACAAGACTCGGGAAACATATACTTCCAAAAAACAAGACTGTTACTAAAAACAGACTTCACAAAAACAAGACTCGCGAAACATACTTGCAAAAAACAAGACTCGCCAAACATATACTTCCAAAAAACAAGACTGTTACTAAAAATAGACTTCACAAAAACAAGACTTGCGAAACATACTTGCACAAAACAAGACTCGGGAAACATATACTTGCAAAAAACAAGACTCGGTTAACATATACTTGCAAAAAATAAGACTGTTACTAAAAATAGACTTCACTAAAACAAGACTCGCGAAATATACTTGCAAAAAACAAGACTCGGGAAACATATTCTTGCAAAAAACAAGACTGTTACTAAAAATAGACTTCACAGAAACAAGACTTGCGAAACATACTTGCAAAAACAAGATTTGCCAAACATATACTTGCAAAAAACAAGACTCGGGAAACATATACATGCAAAAAACAAGATTTGCTAAACATATACATCCAAAAAACAAGACTTGCTAGACATATACATCCGAAAAACAAGACTTGCTAAACATATACATCCGAAAAACAAGATTCACCAAACATGTACATCCGAAAAACAAGATTCACCAAACATATACATCCGAAAAACAAGATTTACCAAACATATACTTGCAAAAGAGCAATGTATACATTCGATGGCACTAACAGGCTTTCGTACGGGGAGACTTTTCACCGGAGATTTTTTGGAACCGGGCATATTGACATAACTGTCGGGTACAGTCTCCCTATAGTGTGGTGCGGGTTAAGGCCTTTGCAAAAAAAAAAGACCAGCGAGCGGCGTCAGCTGGTCTTGTTTCGTGCTGGCGTCCGGAATTCCCCCGTGTCCGGATAGCCACACGCGCCTTGACTAAAGGCTAGTCAAGGCCGTATCCAGAACCAATTTTCGGGGGGGGGGGCGGGGCATTGGGTTAAACATTTTGGTTTTTTTTCAAAGGGGGAGGGAAATTACGTTAGTATATCATGCGCTGTTTTAGTATTTGAAACTATGGCGGATCCAGAACACAATTTTTTTTGGGGGGGGGGGGCAAATTTTTTGGGGGATTCTAGATGCTCATTGGTGCGATCTGAGGCAATTTCTGACCACTTAAACCAAATTTTACCAAGATGTACCCAAGTGCCCCTTTTGCGGACAATGTGCGCCCTCGAGCATAAATGTGCCCCCTCGAGATGAAAGTCTTGCCCTAAAATCTCGGATAATTTGTTTTCAGTAACCATTTCCCAAAATGGTAAAGAGAGTTCTGATGTGAACGAGGAATGTGAAAACCAAGCCCCAAAACCCTTACAATTACGCCCTGAAAATGGGCACATAATGCGTAGTTTGCATAATGGTTTTGGAGAGCGCCCCCTATTTTGGACGGGTATACCCGCAAATAAAACTAAAAGTTGTCTAGCACTACTGGAGCTGATTGTAAATTATTTTGACCATTTTTCTGTGACTTTAATTGCCATGGTTTGTTCCTCCCTGATAGTTCGCCTTGGTGTGTGATAAAAAGACATTGTCCAACATGGCCCAGTCCGTTTACTTCGCGGGAATACTAATCGGCTCTGTTGTGTTTGGATCGCTCGCTGATTGGTGAGTCAGGGAAAATGTCATGGCTGTGATTGGTCAATCCAACATGGGGCGGGGCTTAGGCCTAGTAGATCAGTCAATCCGGTTCGTTAGTACAAACGTCATACCACGCGTTCGCACCACTTACTAACGCCCATTGGATAAACACCCAAGTTGCGTTAGCTTCCGGGTTCCAGTAGTTCAAATGCTACTTAATGGCCGGTGGGCGTTGTTTATATTGAAGTGACGTCACACTAACGAACCGAATAAGCCACTGTACTGATGACGTCTCTCTTTGTTTACTTGTGCGCTTTTCTATGCGGCTACGAAACCATCGTCTCCACGAGGCTCCCATAAGAAAGCACACATGTAAACAAGGGTGACGTCATCAGTACAGAGGCTTATTAGATTTCTCGATGGCATGTTGGGGTGGCACATAAAATGATGACCAGCAATTTTTACATGAAAATTTGAGAATGGGTTGCTGTACTGTTTCATGAAATATCAAATGAAAAGGCATGTAGGCTATTATGATCATTTGCATTTATCCCAAAAGTATTATACCGAATTATAATTAAGATCGTATACTGATGACACTAACTAAACACCCCGTGATATTATGCCGTCTGGCTTGCTGGCATCTGGAAGAAACTTCGAGAAAATGTCTAGGTGATTTCAAACGATCAGTCACTTGACTGATTTTTGGAATCAAAAGCGCTATTGATAAAATCGTGTTTCGTGATCAAAAGATAGCGCATGGTTTTTCACTTTTTTTCTCGAAACGTGCAATATTCACTGAGCTGAAACTTCAACAGGTTAGGTTTGAACATTCCTCTTTGGTTTTGAGTGGTGTTATAATTGGAAACGAACAAAACAAATGCACGAAAAGCAAATGATCCTATATTTGCCTTTAAAGCTTGACATATTCTAAGAAATGAAAGGTAGAAATTATAAGGGTTCAGTCGATCCTATCTCTTTTGAAAACGTGAAGTCATTATTAAGGCCAGAAAAAAACTTAAACTGCCAGATTTATGCGAAATTCGTCGTTTGTTATATGTAGGCCTAAAGAGTTAAAATAACCTATGGTTTACACCAAATCGTTCTTTGTCTCTGCTTTTTCATGTACAGTATAAATTAATTCAATTTTCGAATCTAAACAGTTTATTTTGTTCCTGATTTTCCTTTGAAGGATCGGGCGCACCAAGACGATGTACATCGCATTGTGTCTTTGGTTGTCTGCAGCCATTGCCGTAGCATTCTCACCAAACATCGCTGCATACACGGTATTCCGAGCCCTGAACGGCGCGGGCAGCTACGGGACATTCCTGCCTGCTTACGTCCTGGGTAAAGCGGGTGGAATTGCGATTTTTAAGATTTATTTATCATTTATCAGTATATAGAATATTTTCAAGTTACAGCGATCACAAACTTGCTTGTTATAGTGATGATATCAAAACTCATTTCAGCTTAAAATAATCTTATTCATTTTCCATCAAATTAAGGGAAATTTACTAAGATAATAAAAAAAAATGTTTATACGGTGTACTGTGCATGATCTATTCCGACGATTTTTCACGTTGGGTGCTTTATTTTTGGGTGTCGGTAACTCTCTGAAAATGCGTGTATTTTTGGGTTGCTTTTAATTTTGCGCACAAACATAATTATCCGCCCTGCTAAAGTAGACTGGTTCGCGGTTCATATGCATTTTCGATCCTGATATACAGGGCGAGAACCAGTCTGCTTTGCGAAAAATAATTATCTTCGTGACGCAAATAATTCTAAATATGTGATGTAATTATTTCCGTACTAAACGTGGGTCTTTTGTTTTTGTTTTGTTCGATATCTCTTTCAGAAGTAAATAACTTCTGTGGAAAAAACAAAAATCACAAAGAATACATCTTTCAATATTAAAAAACACTGAATTAAATTGTACAAGGAAATGAACTGGGACGGGGTTTGAATCGGCATCAAGCATAAGCTATCTAGCGCCGCAGCCGTATATTCCGGACGTCGCCGGTTCGATTCACGCCCACGTTCCACGTAAATTTCCTCTCACACTTTTAATTTTGGGTGCAATTAATTTTTGGCGATTAAGTTCGATAAAGTTATTACTCCGTGCAAAAGAGAATGAATGCGTGCGTGAATGCATTTGCAGGTACGGAGTTTGTCGGTCCGTCCAAGCGAGTAATCGTCGGCGTCGTGGGCCAGATCTTCTTCGCTGCCGGCCTCATGATCCTCGCCGGGCTCGCTTACTTCATCAGGGATTGGCGTACTCTAGAGATCGTCATCACAGCTCCGATCGTTCTTTTCTTCCTCTACATACCGTGAGTGTCTGAAGAGGAGACTAAACTGATTGGTTTGCTTTTATTTTAAAGAAAATGGACATAAAGTTTGAAGTAGGCCTGGTGTAGATCCCACTTTAAAAAAAAAAGAAAGAAGAATCGCGTAGCCGATTCTGGCGTCCGTCCGCAATTTCCTTTCTCTTTTTGAAGAACCGTGTATTTTTTTTTATACGAAATAAGTACATCTTGTGAACCTAGAGATGTATAGTGGTTCTTACAAGGATTACATGAACATAAATAATTTATTGCAATATTGAAATCCGTTTGTCAATAGCCGTCGGGCCGACAGGCCGAGATAAAAATGGTAGCCATCTTGGATTGTATTAAAGTCTTCCTACTGCGTCGTTTAGAAAGAAATTGCCATGAACGCTATGCGCTTACAGACTCTTTTTGCCGAGAATGGTTTGCTTACAAAACAAAAACAATTTCGATTCGGCAGCATTTTCCCAGAGTCGGCGCGCTGGCTGATCAACAGAGGGCGTCACAAGCAAGCCGAGAAGATCATACGAAGGGTTGCCAAGGTGAACAAGAAAGAGCTCCCGGATGTGCTGTTTGAGGAGGATGAAATCAAGGAATTGAAGGTGTTTTCTTAATTGTTTTGAGGCTGTAATGTTTGAAATTACAAGTTGATCAGAAAGCAAAAGGTGTTATGTTATTGAAAGCATGATTCAACAAGAACTAGTTTTTGGTGCATGGATATCACCTCAAAAGAAGACGCACATTGGTCCAGTTGCTCTTCACACTTTATTATCCATACGCACTTTGGAAATAATATCTAAAACGATCAAAATAAAACTTATTACTGCCAAAATGTACTGCTTTACAGGAGAAATTGGCAACAGAACGAAAGCCAACTGCGTTGGATCTATTCAAATCCCCAAACATCGCCGTGAAGACGTTGAATCTCATGTTCAACTGGTGAGAAAAACAAAAAATATTTCTCCAAGTCACAATTTGTCAAGTTAAGTCACAATAATGTCCACCATCCCCTTTTAGCACTGTATGTAACCATCCCATTCCAAAACTGTAACATGTCCACAGATTGGTTTATTTAAACCTCCTATACTTATAACTATCACAAACTATAAAAAAAAAAAAGCAACCCCTAACTCTATTAATAGCATCAACTATACCAGAAATTCCTATGGATTATACCCTATAACTGTCAAAGCCTGTTGAAGTGGTTTGTTAGATAGGTTGTCCATTTTGGTACAGCTTGTGTAGCAGCCATTTTAACCCGTCAATTGTACCAACATGAGGCCAGTTTACAGACCTGTTAAAACTGTAACCTGTTAGATTTTGACCCATACGGTTACTTGCTACAGATTGTAACTGAGAGAAGTTTGGCCTAGTACCAAGTTAAAATGTTTATAATTCACCATTCTCAAATGGGTGTTTCATTTGTCTTTTAAAGGAGGCGCTGCCACCACGTCTGGAGATTTAATTATCATTGATCAAAGGTTATCTGCTAATATGTGAGGTGCTGCTGAGTTTTACATCTGTTTACCACACTTCGATTCCATTTGAAGAAATTGACAGATATTCAGATTTTGTTTTTTTTCTGCAGGTGCGTCAACAGCCTAGTATACTACGGTCTGTCACTGAGCATCCCAGATCTGGCATCCGATGACTACCTTGCCTTCTTCATATCAGGGGCAGTTGAGATACCAGCCTACATCCTGGCCATGGTGGCCATTGAGAAGCTGGGAAGGAGGCCAAATCTGGGATCTACCATGGTTGTCGGAGGGGTGGCATGTGTGGTCACAATATTTATAGGTCAGAGTTCAAGTCAACTGTTTTATTGATCAGTGAATATTTGTGTTATGCGCCTGTCAATTGTTTCCCCCCTCCTTCCCCCGGCTGCCCCACCCAAGACGTGGGGATTGTCACTTTTTTTGCCCCCCCCCCAAAAAAAATGAACACAACTTTTTTTTTTAATTTAAAGTGTCGTCGTAAAAAAGGGCAGCCACTGCGTACACCACAAAACTTAAAAGTAATACATAGTGCCCCCTTGCTTTTCATATTAAAGCTATAGTCCATCATTTGCAGCCATCCGAAAAGTAACTGGCGTAATTATTGTTGAAAAACAAACTTGGTTGAAAGATAGTAAGGAAACTAAACTCCCTGTGAAATTATTCTTTCTGGGAAGCTGTCATTTTGAAGTAATTAACGAAAGAAGGCAGTTCCAACGGTGATTCTTAAGAAGCACCGTAGGAAAATTTAAATTAGTAGTTCGTTTTGTTATTCAGCGCAGTGCGCACAAGTATTGGAACGACGCACACGCGCGCGCGGTTGTTATAATTCGTCGGATCAGTGCGCTACGTCGCGTATAGCTGCAATTCAAAACAATTCAAAACATGATTCAGTACCTTTTGATTTGAAATTGAGATCTTAGAATGCTGTTTTTCTCGGAATGTACAGCTGAAGCTGAGCTGAAACTTCATCAGGTTAGTTGCTCAGTATCCTTCATTAGATTTTGAACTCTTTTGTTGCTTCAAACGAACAAAATGCACAAATTACAAATGATGGACTGTAGCTTTAAATTTGGAGCAAAAAACCTCTGGACCCACTTTTTTTGGGAGCAAAAACAATCCCCCCCCCCCAAAAAAAGAGTGTGTTCTGGATCCAGCCTTGTCTCCTCACTGGGCTGGACCAGTCAAAGTTTCCAACAACCAGACCATAATAATTCAAATCGCAATTAAAATCACAAGTCAGGTTACCAAACACACGGGAGGAACAATGAAAAAGAAATGCCTTTGCCACAGGTCATTTGAATAGCTTGTGACTTGACTTGGGACTGAGAGACTTGTGATTGCCTTGTGGTATGGTGGCTTGGTGCGGGTTTTGACTACAAGTTGGTTTCCTATTTGCAGAGCCTGGGACCTGGCAGACAGTGGTTGCAATGATCGGCAAGTTCTGTGTTTCGGCCTCCTTTGCCATTGTCTACATCTACTCTGCAGAACTCTTCCCAACTTCCCTCAGGTAAAAAAAATATGATATCTTGGTCCAACTTCGCAACAATTCTAAGGGCATACTAAGGCAAAAAGTACTGCAAATTTCCATATTAATGAGCCTGTGATGTCATTTCCGGCAGAAACCTCAATCTTACAGCTATTTCAGCACCACAAGTTGCCAGAATTGTGGATAGTTTGCTGTCGTTAACTTTCTTTTCTTTGGTGATTCGTTGTTGTGTCAGTACCTATGGCAGTAAGCCAATGAGTAAACTTCTGTCACAAATGTTTTCAATGAGCAAATTTTTGGGTTCACTATTTAAACACAAAACCCCTAAACTGCACAGTGTCTTCCTGAAATGACAGCACATCAGCAGAGCCCTCAGTTGTCCAGATATGCATGGACAATTTGGAATGTTGAAAAGAATTCCACGTTTCAATAAAATCAACCCAAAAAAGGATGTCATACACTTTTCAGAGACAGTAGTGTATACTGCGTATTTGACCTCGTTTTCCGGTGGAGGATCATGATCCTCATCGAGGATCATATCGGTAACCCCGACGAGGATCATACAACGGGGTGTGTCTGTGGCGTAGTGACGTCATGGATCGATGGACAAATCGATGAAGTGGGGATTAGCGCTGAATGGGTATTGTTGGTAGAGGATATGCAGACGAATGTCAGGCACTACAGCGCACTTTTTAATGTGTTTTAAGCCCGTACGTATATGATGAGGTAAATAGTGTTAAATGCGATGTAATGTGTAAATATGTTTATTGTACATGTGTATTGCTGGATAGACCTGTCTTTTCCGTCAAAATAAACGTTTCATCCTTTTTTTTTTCTTTCTTTCTTGTGTTTTGTTCTCGACGGGGCACTGCTTCCATTGAGCAAGCTTAAAGTCATAGTGTACATGCAGACAAACTGGAGTAGAAAAAAAAATCGTGGTTTTAATAAAGATAATGTCTACATGTAAGACCAAAAGACAGACACAGAAAGGTTGTAACTGAAGTTTATATTTATAGTTTTTTTTTATGTTTGGGGTTGAGTTTAATTTACATTTGGGGGGGGGGGGGGGGTGGTGATGTAGTTTGCACGGACACACTAGTTTAATCACACATAGTCATTAAAATAGGGAACGTTCCAAAAAGGATCGTTACTTGCAAAAACATTTTAGTAAAACATTGTTTATAAAATTATTAACCGAGTTTACCAATCTCGTGAAGCTCATTTTAATTAGCCTTTACTTTTTTCTTTTTTTTCTTTATAAAAGTAAATTACCGTTTTTTGATGATTGATTTTGTCTCTGCTAAGAAAAATATGCTTTATAGTTCGTGCACAAAATGGTCTCGCTGCGTATTTGACCTCGTTTTCCGGTGGAGGATCATGATCCTCATCGAGGATCATATCGGTAACCCCGACGAGGATCATACAACGGGGCGTGTCTGTGGCGTAGTGACGTCATGGATCGATGGACAAATCGATGAAGTGGGGATTAGCGCTGAATGGGTATTGTTGGTAGAGGATATGCAGACGAATGTCAGGCACTACAGCGCACTTTTTAATGTGTTTTAAGCCCGTACGTATATGATGAGGTAAATAGTGTTAAATGCGATGTAATGTGTAAATATGTTTATTGTACATGTGTATTGCTGGATAGACCTGTCTTTTCCGTCAAAATAAACGTTTCATCCTTTTTTTTTCTTTCTTTCTTGTGTTTTGTTCTCGACGGGGCACTGCTTCCATTGAGCAAGCTTAAAGTCATAGTGTACATGCAGACAAACTGGAGTAGAAAAAAAAAATCGTGGTTTTAATAAAGATAATGTCTACATGTAAGACCAAAAGACAGACACAGAAAGGTTGTAACTGAAGTTTATATTTATAGTTTTTTTTTTATGTTTGGGGTTGAGTTTAATTTACATTTGGGGGGGGGGGGGGGGGGGTGGTGATGTAGTTTGCACGGACACACTAGTTTAATCACACATAGTCATTAAAATAGGGAACGTTCCAAAAAGGATCGTTACTTGCAAAAACATTTTAGTAAAACATTGTTTATAAAATTATTAACCGAGTTTACCAATCTCGTGAAGCTCATTTTAATTAGCCTTTACTTTTTTCTTTTTTTTTTCTTTATAAAAGTAAATTACCGTTTTTTGATGATTGATTTTGTCTCTGCTAAGAAAAATATGCTTTATAGTTCGTGCACAAAATGGTCTCGCTGACGTATCTTCGTCGTTCGAATGTTTATTGTGAAACCAATAACGTTTCTGTGTCGTTTGGCAAATTGCACACCAAACAAAACGTCCAGCCGTCGTTTTCGGGTAGATTGTTTTGGCCTGAACCTCAATTGCGTCGTCCCGGAGTACAAAATTACCGAAGATTAATTAAAATAAGGATTTCTGTCTCTTCGTGATTGCAGAATCTTGGTTACCCGGTCAATGAAATTTTGGAAAAATGTTTTTCTGATTGCTATTACCCACACGATGCATATAAATATATCACGATATTGACGTACATGTACATGTATGTGCAATTTTAAAAAGTCACTTCGAAGTTCGAGGATCTCTTTTTCGCAAGGGATTTCTGGAAGGGTCGAACTAAACGCGTATTTGCTCGTCAACTCTTGCAAATGATTCGTAGTACTTTAAAACACAAATAGTTCTTATAGATCATCCGTGTAAGTTAAGGCCATAGCATTTTTGGGGAAGAAATCGGTAGTTGCCGATCGCCGTCGTGTCGCGCATCATACACCCACAAAACGTATTTGAGTGGGGAAACCCAATGATGTCACAGCGATGAGTCATCGATGGACGACAAACATGATGACCAGTCCACTAGTCCAGACTTGTCCAGTCTTCCACTCCGAATACGCGTGCGGTGTTCTCGAATGTTCCCGAGCACAATCCCAGTGACGTCACAGCGATGAGTCATCGATGGACGACAAACAAGAAGACCAGTCTGGACTTGTCCAATCGTCCAGTCCGAATTCGTGGTGTTTTTACAATCTCTATGTGCACAGTCGTTCGGCGGTGAGAACATTCAACGTCAGCTGAACGTTTTGGGTGCATCGACAAAACGACAAGGTGACCGCAGTATACGTCCGCGTTTTTATCTCATCCAGTCCCGAATCTCCTGAACGGTCGCACAAAATTCAAGGTAAGTTTATGTCTCATGAGACATTTTTATCACCCGATGTTTTTGTTTTTCTTCTTTTTTTTTTTTCTAAATGATTTTGCAAAGGTAAGATACATGATGTAGAATCGGTCGGATGATAATGGTACATATGTTTTATTTCTCTCTCACTGCTTCAGGGTCCACCTCTCATCAGCATGTCCACCACTGTGATCAAAGGAAGAAGCGAAGTTATAGTGCACACTCAAGACATTTAGGTTCCATATCAAGTCATTCAAGAATCGCATTGAAATTTATTTGTCATTGTTATATATCTTAAATTTTAATCGAATTTATTTCGTTCTTTTGTAAAAGAATTGAGTTGAGTTACATGTACTGGTGCATAGGCCTTTGAGATAAACCACGCCAACGTAAAATCGTTGTGTATCTCGCTAAAGAAAAAGAAAAAAAAATCAACAGAACTTTCGATTATGGTTTAAGACTCGGATTTATATCTACAACTTTTCTGTACCCATGATGTTTTCCAAACGTTTATTGCGCTATTTTAAGGGACTCCACTTATTAAGCTTAATTTGAGAACAGAGACGCGTTTACAACGACAAAAAAAGAAGAAGATATAAATGAATATAATACATGAAATAATATCACACGTAGTAATACATAACATCAAAACATTTACCAATTCAGATACGTTAAAAATATTTACACATTTTTAACAGCAATCTGAACTTCTTTAATTAATGTACAAAATGAGTGTATTTGGTTTTGTTTACGCTTATCGAAGAAGATGCAGTTGACTCTATAGTGTCTGTGAATATTTCTCTAAGTGCAACGCAGTGCTCACATACGAACAAAGACTCATTCAAGCTTCGAGATTCTGTGTCTTTTGAAGATTTGTTCTAATTTATTTCTTATTTTTGTAGTAAACTTAACAAATTCAGTCGTAAATGTATATACTTTGAGCAGCGATATGTTTCATTACTTGATGCAGATTCATTTTATTTACGATTATAGATCTTTATGAACGTTAATGGAAAGGAGGCCGAATAATAATGCACGTAACATTTTAGAAAAAGAAAAAAAAAAGTCAACTTAAAAAAGAAGAACCTTTCACTTATCAAAACAAGTACAATATGAATATTTACACACATTATTTTTAACATCAATCTGCAGCTTCTATAATATATTTATTTGTACATGTACATCTACATGTCTTCTTCTTCTTCTTCTTCTTATTATTATTATTTTTTTTTTTGGTATTTGTTTTTTTTAAACGTTTATTTAATAATTCCAATAGCCCCCCCCCCCCCCTGCAGTGAATATCTGTGCGGAACTTATTTTGTGCTGCTCTTTAATAAATGAAAACTAATTGGCATCCTTTTTTTTTTTTTTTAATTAACTTCATTGGAAAGCACACTTCCTTCAACTTTTAAAATGTTCCATGCTTTTCCAAAACAACTGAGGGTGCTGTTGCCGTAATGTCATTCAGTTAGACACGTTCATATTTATGTTTGTTTTTTTATTGTGAACCCCAAAAATTTGCTCTTTAAAAACATTTGGGAGAAAAGTTTGCTCACTGATTTACTACCATCACGGACCACACACAAATGAATTTAAAAAAAAAAAATATGAAAGTTTACGTCAGTGAAATATCCAGAATTCATGGGCACTTTAAAAATAAGTGAAATACATGTGTAAAAGAAGATAGAGTTGACTTGCACAGTGTTTGTAACATATTTTGTCCCCTTAGGGCAACGCAGTACTCACATGCGAATAAAGACACATTCAGGCTTCGAGATTCTGTCTTTTGAAGATATATTTTAATTATTTTTACTTGTACTTTTACTTGTACTTTTATTAACACAAACATATTATGACTATTTGCTAAACAATTGAGTGGTAAATGTATACACTACGTATACATGTAATTAAAAAAAAAAAACAATAAAAAGAATCCCAACTTAAAAATCAAAATAAAACGAGTAGACCCTCGTTGATCAGTTTTTTTTTTTCACAGCATTAATCCGTTTTTTGTCCAACAAAACCTTCGTTTGTGTTTTATTGACTGATTAAACGTCTCCCGCTCTTCATTAATAGTGACATGGGTTTGTACAACGAGTTACAATTTTCTCTCTTTTGTGTGACTTGATTTTTATGTTTGTTACATATTAATTGTCATTTATCTAAAATTAAAATGTTGACGCAAAATTCTATTACATTCTTTAGACTAGAATACATTTGGCAATTATCCACATGTATACGATCTAGGTAGCTTGCATCTCACGCTTTTTGTTTGTTTGTAATCTTGGTTTTCATCTTAATGTTGAAGATCGTCTTGACAGCGAGGCGTGTATCTCAAGAGCAAACGGGAAAATCCATGTATATATTAAAATATAAGAGATGTGTTTGCTTGTTGAAAAATCAAATAGAAAAATAAAGAAACCGAGAAATAGAACACCTACAGTGGAAAAACAAATCCAAAGTTATATTTGTTCCGAACAAATATTAATATTTTCCACTCGACAGAATATCATTTCTTGATTACCTGATTGGTAGATGATTGGTACATGGTAACTGTTCAAAATGAAATTTATTTAACGACCATTTAGAGTTAAATGAACAAAACGAATAATCAAATGCAGGAATCAAATCGATTTTTTTTTTTTTGATTTTTTTTTAAAATCTTACTGATTTAAAGGAAACATGCAATAGGATTTTTTAATGACTTAAATACATTGAAAACAGCTTTCTTGCTATGTAACTATGACTGTCCACCTCCTTGTGGCAGTAAAAGGGAGAAATTTCAACATTTCAGTTTAATGCTAATGAAAATTTATATCATGAGCAAAAGCGTGATGTCATTCAAGGCAGAACAGTAGTGTTTCTGTAGCTTTGTGTACAAATTAAATTATATCAAAATTTTGTTCGTGTTCGAGTAAGTTCCACTTTTTACTCGTTAATCATGTTCAACAGCTTGTTAGTTGTTTGAACAATAGTAGAGGCCGCTATTTCTTAAAACAATAAATATATATATATTTTTTTGTGGGTCACCTTTGAAGGACTTATTTTTGTACCGTTTATATGAACTTTTCACAATGAGTACCTTGTGTGACAAAAGCAAAATAGTACATGTCCCTCTTACATGTATTGATAAAAGGATTTGCTAATAATTGAAGAAAAAAATACCACTTTCTTGTCGATTCCAATGAAAACAAGTATATACATATATTAAGATCTTGTATGAATTGTTGCAACACATAGTAATCCGCATGAAAACAAGATAAGCTGAATTCCCACTGCATGTTTCCTTTAAGACCACTTCAAACGAGACTGATCAAGCCAATGCTATATTGAACTAAAGTCTCGTTTTAATTACATTTGGTCGGAAACACGTAATGTCGTTTGAAGTGATTTTCCATGCATCTTTTAGCTTTCATTATTCATTATTCTAATTACAATCGAACATTTTTACAACAAGGTCATTAGGACTTTACGAATTACCTTGTTATAAGAGGCACCTTGTTTACCAACGTGAACGCAATCAACTTTTTTTTTTTTTTTTGGTTTCATTTCTTCGTTAATTAAAAAAAAAAAAAAAAAAATTAAGAGGAAAGTAAAAAGAAAAGAAAATTCAATCAAACATTATTTACAACGTAGTGTTCTTTTATAAATATGCTGCGCTATTTTTAGATTAAGTAAAAAAAAAAAAAAAAAAAAGTAGGCCTACTTATAAAAAAAAAAAAAAAAATTCAAATTCAAACAGTATTTCAACGTACCGTTCTTTTATTAATATAACAATAAATATGCTGCGCTATTTTTAGATTTCGTGAAAAAAAGGAGAGATTTTCGTCATCTGGAAGGTATATAAGTTGCGGATTGTCATCACGAGGATCAGTTTGAATGTGGACATTGACATCGTCACATCGACCTCGAATCTCGAGTAAGTGTCCTATTAACTGCAACGTGTACAATAATACATGTACATCTACATTTGTAGAGGAATGGTATGAGTTGTGTCTTACATTAACAATTTTTTTTTCCTCATAACCCAGATACCCTCAAGTTTTAAAATGAGCCATCAGGGAGCCATGAAACCCTTTCCGACAAGCACCCCTCCCAGTCAGCAGTTCCTTCGATGCTTGCAGGAGGAGTGGGACATCGATCAAGATGAAGATCAGCTAATGGTAAGTATAAAACAACCGTCTGAAAAACAAATATCACTCAGGTACACTGTACATTGCTGTGAATTTACAAACCATCTTGTTGAGACTCAAATTTTGTTGTCCTTATTTAGTAATGATGTTAATAAAATCGAAATGTCTATGTATTCATCGCATTTTATGTTAAATCATGTATATAAAAGTGAACATTATGTACTAACGATCCTGTTTCTTTTTCTCTACACCTGCAGATTGTTGACGTTCCTCCCGAGCCGTCAGCCGCGCCAGTGAAGCAGCAAGGATTGCAGGATGGACGAGGGGGTCAAGAACAAGGCGAAAAGGCAGCCAAAGGTGGACGATACCCATGTGGGACGTGTGGAAAGGTCTTCCGTCAGTTGACCAACCTCATCCGACACCGCAAGCTTCACGAGAGCGGTCCGAGTGTCAACAAGAAGGCCGTGACCTGTCCGGTTTGCAACAAAGTGTTCTCTCGTCCCGACAACTTAAAACGGCATCGCAAGAACCACAGCGCAGATCAGCTGCCGTCCACCACCCGTCAAATTTCGGATCAAGAGAGTGTAGAGTCGACCATTGCTGAAGCCAGAACTGACTGTAACCCTCCCCAGGCCAAAAGCCCAAGTATTACGAAATTAACCTGTCCAGCCTGCGGAGACGTTTTCCAGAGAGTAAGTCATATGTTGCGTCATCTACAAAACGACCACGGTGGAGTGTCGGCATCTTATCCAATATCGTTCGAGCCAAACCCCGAACCCAGTCAATTCGTCTCTGAGAACAAAGAAGACCCCGATATGATGGAGGCTGTTCCCAATGTCCTTACTTCAACATCACCGACTGACGTACCACTACCTTCCCCACCACAGGCGCCACAGGCACCACAGGGGCACCTCTGCCCGCTGTGTGACAAGTCTTTCAGTCGACACGACAGCCTGAGGAGACACATCAAAACCTACCACGAAAGCGGTGCAACTCCACCATCAATACCCGAAGAACCGTTATCACATCAAATTTCCCGTCCTGAGTCACCTGAAACTGTTCCCGAAGATCCCCGTGAGTTTCCAGCTGGTAATCACGGTGAAGAAAACTTGCAAGAGGCTGATGATATTCTCAAAGCTCTCCGTCGACACTGGTTGCCCATTCGCACGCATTACACAACCGGCCGCCGCATTCAAGATGTATACAATTTTAGACTGGCTGAAAACTCGACCATAGACGTAGATTTGGCGTTGAGAATGATATTTCAGCGCCTTCGATGCCGAGTAAA